TTCATTTTTTTTACAAGCACTAACAGTTGCTTCCTAATTGTTTTGACTTGAAATATTATACTCTCTGCTACCACGGATCCCAACTTCCCAAGTATCCTAATCAACCAGGCATGCTTCATGCATGCATGTTGTACTGCATCGGTTCTGGTGAAGATGTTCTGGTCATGCATATATGCAGTGTATGCCACCTGCATCTCTGTATATGACTGTACACAAGCACCGCAAGATCTAAAAAGTCAGAAGAGAAGGTTACAAGCTAGTAAAAACAAAGCAGGTGACAGATTCAGACATGGAGTTTTTGACAGTGTCATTGGCTTTTCTTATTTGACTGATCTGCCAACTCCAAGTCCAATGCAATGCAGGCAGTACATGCTTCACATGAACCGAGGCTAAATGCATAGTTTGCCCAAATGGAATCGTCGCTACGTTCTCGGTTTCTTTACTGCAAACATGAAGGTGAGGTTAAGGAATGCCTTAGCGAGGTACTACTACTGTAGTGCACTAGTGCTACCGTCCAAGCATAGAAATGACGTGATTGGAACTTTTTTACCTTTGTCTTTGAGTTCGAGCATTTTCATGGGCGCCTAACTCGATCAAAGTCAATATTACAGTATTGCTCCCTATGCATTGTGCGAAATGTAGTAGGATGTGATGAAAGTAACCCAGAAGATAATGTCTGATTTGCAAATTACTATTGCTCAATTGCTTTAAGTTTCCCAATTAATACTCCCTCTATCCAAAAGTCTAAGACATACCTCCATCCCAAATTGATCATATAATATCTGTGCACCATGACCAAGAATAATTTAAACCGCATCGATCAAGATGTCATGCATACTCAATTATAATGCACATATTCTCCCACAATGTATGCATCAATTAAAAACGCAATGCACAATTACTCCCTCCATCTTATAATATAAGGGATTTTGCAGAGATGTGACATATCTTAGTACTATGAGTATGGACAGACTCTTCGTCTAGATTCATAATACTAGAATATGTCACATCCTTCTAAAATCTCTTATATTATGGGACGGAGGGAGTACACCCTTAACATGAACACATTTTTTCGTGCTGCATTAATTGTACTCTGATGAAATCTTTGTCCATGTAGTTATATGATGATCAATTTGAGAAAATTTAATTTTCATTATATGATGATCAATTTGGGAAGGAGGGAGTATTTCTTACTGCACCAAGACTAAGGAGCAATTAATTTATTCACCATGTGATAAAATCAATGGACATGTAACCAATAAGTACTAAGATGACTTCTTAGATTCCGATCAACAATTTAGTTTAGTACATGATAACTACAAATAAGACTTAGACTTTTGGAAAAAAACCAAAGAATGAAATAGGTCGAGGGAGGGAGTACGATTAAGGCTCATTTGAAACCCATTATTAAAAAAAGGAGAAATATAAAAATATAAAATTTTTACATAATACAATTGTAAAACAGATGAGTATAAAACACTGGTTGTTTAAATAGACCATTGGGGAAAAAACCTCAGGAATTAGATGATAGCAATAGATTCAAACAAAAAAAATTTTAGGAGATTGTAACACTTGCTAACTTTTCTTCAAAATCTTTATAGAATTATCCATTTCATAGAATTTTTCTTTTAAAAAAAGGTTTCAATGATTTTCCTTACAATTTTTCCTATAAGATTGGAATCCTCTGAATTATCCATATGTTTCCCTACAAATAAATAAATCCTCAATAATAGGCTAGGTGGAGTCCGCTATTTGCAAATCTCTATTGCTCAATTGCTTTCAGCCTCAAGTGCAATTTCCAGAACACGACTTTTTAACGATTAGAACGTCGCTTACATTTTGTAATAGCTGCATCTGAATAGTAGTGTACGCAGTACACAGTGACTACACCTCTTAGATCTGGATTATATATAGTAAATCAAATTTCTGATTTGTATATGCTGCATATTGCCACGGGGTGGTTTACTAACCACACACACGTCGGCACGCATGAGTCCTGCAGCATTAGACACGGGGAATATGTACGCATACTTACACGCGCGCATGGAATTATCTACGTGCAATAAGGGTCATCAACCTGTACAAGTGTACAGGACATTTCCAACTCTCGATCGATCGACCCATTTTTCATCTCTTTCTGCAAGATCTGTACTTCTTTTTTACCTCTCGATCGATCAGTGGATGGTGACCAAGACTTGCTGATAAGTCTCCATTAATTGTTAAATCTTGGGAAACTTGCAGTGATTAATATCTAAGTCGGGTTCACAATCTCATTACCGGACAAAAGCCACTCACAGTCACATGCCGTATCTGGTTTTCGCCAAAACCATTATTAAACTGGCAAAAAACGACGAAATTCAGACATATTAGTCAACAAATTGAACTTCAGTATGAAATTTCTTGTAACCAACTGTTTTTTTCTTATCAAGCCAGTTTAGGAAGTATATATGCAAGATGCAAAATTGCAAAAATTCAGTATGCACAGCAGCACACATCTCGATCTACATGCAGAGATCAGGCCGGTGCATGCGCCGACGAGACGTTGCCGGTCGGTCGACCAGGCCATCCCGCCGGCAACGCCGCAGAAGGCCGGCAGGCACAGCCTCTGCGCCGCCACAATCCGCGCCGGCTCACCGCCCTGTTCCGAGCAGTATATAAATGCTGAACAATTAGCTGGAATTCATGGAGAGTTTAACTAATCACTTTTCAGTCTCCTCTTGTTTTCGGACATGATTAATAATGTATATCCGGAGATCGAGAGCCTTAGCAATGGGAGGCCCAAGAAGATGTTGGGAGTATACATGCGCCTCGGGCTCGGAGTTGGGTTACGCGAAAACAACGCTAGTTTTAGCCAGTCCTTCAGCAACAAGACACGAGCTGCAGGAATCAGGATGCTCGCAAGCCTCAAGAACAGCTAAGCGGCTAGCCTAGCCATCATTCTTTTTCTTTTATGGAGTGGCACCCTTTCGGTTTAACATAACCCGTGTTTGATCTTGCGCAATCGATCAATAAAAGGGCGCACAAATGAAGTTGTGAAACACCAGGTAAAATGCATCTGTTGAAACTTGAGGGCGAGGTAGGCCGTTGGTACAGAGAGGTGTGAATATTTACGCAAAGCAGGAGAACTCTAAATTCTAATACAAACATTATTTCTTCGGATTATATATGACTTATGCCTTCTTTGTATTGGAAGAAAAGCAAGGAAAAAACAAAAGATTGGCATGCCTGTAGATTCAACTACTATAGCATCGTTTGGATCAAAGGAATGGCACGAATGAAATATCATACTTCCCACCTATTCTAGAGGAAAATAAGGCTCTCTTGGATAAAACGATATTTTTAAAAAGATCTGAATTACACCATTAAACTATTAGGCGAGTATAAATTACACCCCTAGACCTAAAAACCAAACATCTTTCACCCTCAACTCTTAATACCGGATGAAGAACCCCCTAATTTAATCTAGAGTGGTTTTGATCCTACGTAGTAGTCCGGTCAATATTTTTCGGTATTGCTAAAAATATGTCGCCACAAATTACGATGGATTTCAGTCGGTTGTTTCAACCATCAGATGTAGATGCAGAAATCACCGCATGTGTACGCATATCCCTCCAATTCTGTTCTCTTCTTTTGTTTTAACGTTATTTGCTAATCAGGATTACTAATTAATCTTAAAAACTAAATATCTGTGTCATCACAAATCTATAGTTTTGTGACTTACATCAACTTACATATGTAATTTTGAGAATTACATATGTAATTTTAGGACTTACATATGTAATTTTGGAATTTACATTGTAAATACACTAAAATTACATACGCAATTTAGGGACTTACAATGTAAATACATGCCGACTATTTTTTGATGAAAAATATGACGCCATAAATATAGCTACTCCCATTTTTTTTTAGAAAAATCAGTGGATCCACTTGTTAGAGAGAGAGAGGGGTAAGAGAGAAAATCTGACAAGTGGGTTCCACGGATCTTTTTTTTAAATACTGATTGGACTGTTACATAGAACTAAAACCACTCCGGATTAAGTAAGAGGGGTGAAAGATAGCTTTTTTTTTGGTATAGGGGTAATTCGTACTCATCCAACAGTTCAGCGGTATAATTCGGACCTTTTCTTTCTTCTTGTCATTACTCATCCGATGGTTTCTCTATATCTAGCTGAGTCCATCAAATCTTTAAATATTTAGTTGTGCTAGTGAAACCTCTCTTGAGCATGCCATCTATTGATGTTGTTTTCCTATGAAAGAGAAGAGAAAGTTAGACATAAGCATTACGGATGGTGTACTTAACCCCTACGGTATAAATGAGTACGAATGATCAGTGTATAACATTTTTTTTAGAATTACACAGTACAACGCAGACACTCACAACGCACGCACACTCATCCCTAAGAACGCACGCACGCACGCAAACCCTATCTCTATGAGCATCTTCGAAGACTGGGCCAATAAATACTGGTGATTGATGAAGTCACCACAGACGCCTCGCTGTCGACGGGTTTCTCTTGGGTATGGGATACCCAAAAGAAACCATATCCTAAAATGTTATGCATTGATCATTGCTGAAATTTAGACATTTGGTTAGGCTATGATCATAATGGAACAGACTACTTTGCAATGAAAAGAAAAACACGTATGCCCTTTTTTGAACACAAGGTTTTCTTAGAGATTCACTATGTACATAAACTTAGAAATTCCTGCTCTCTCCATATTAAAATAAGTTTATTTTTCACCCATTCTACACATACCCATACAAAACCCAAAAACCTATAATAGCCTCACTTTGTGAGATCCGAATGTAATTGTTTCTCTTTTTATCTGCTTTCAATACATTTATAACATTTATACTCTAAGGGTTAAAACTGGAGACGGAGGAAGTAGGTACATTCCAACACGAGGAAAAAGGGGAAGCAACTCGGTTCAGCCTACCCGGACGAAGCACAAGAGAGAAAAAAAGCCCACTATTCTTTCCAGTTTCCACACACCTTGCTCCATCCATCCGCAGTTGAGAGGAAAGGGGGAAAAAAAGAAAGCCCAAAAGCTGCTCTCCGCCACGCGGCCGTGCTCGTCGACTCGCGCCGCCTCCTCCTCCGCCGCTTCCCCGCCGGCCCAGCCCAAAAACCCCAGCGCTCTGCCGCCGCATACGGACAGGCAGGCTAGGCAAGTGTGAGCCAGTGAAGGCGGCGACTGTGCGAGTCAGCTGCTCCTCCCAGAAACCTCGCCACCCTCTCTCTCCGCCGCGAATCGAGACTCCGATGGCCCCCGCCGCCGCCGCCGCCGCCGCGCTCGTGCGCCTCCCTCTCCGCCCGGCGCGGGCCACCCTGCCGAACCAAGGTACGCACGCACGCACGCACGCCCGCCGGGACACGGTGCATTCACCTCGAATCTTCCGCTGCATGGGCGATGGGAGAGCTAAAACCCTAGTTTTGTTCACCCCCCAAGGTTTTGGCCGCCGCCGCGCCGGGGCGTCTTCGCTGGCCGTGCGGGCGAAGGACTCCGACGATCTGAGAGTGCTGATCTCGGAGAAGCCCGCGGAGCCGGCGCCTGCGAAGCGGGAGGGGTGGGAGGGGTTTGGCCGGGAGGTGGGTGATGGGGATGGAGAGGTCCAGGTGCAGGGGGAATCGACTTCCTGGAATGTTCTCAACCAGATTGGCGTCGAGGTGAGCACGCGTGCCTGCCTGCTTGTTGCATTTCTGATCTGAAACGAATGATTTAGGTGCGGGTGGTGAAGATTTCGTCTTGATCACCATTTCTTCGATCTCATTTCTTTTTCAATCAATCTTGATCATGGTTTGAACATAACATGAGTTTTTTTTCTCTTTTTTACACTGATTAATAGGACAGGAGTAAATGTTGCTACTGCTCTAGTTCAGCATGTAGAATAACAGTCTTGCGAGTAGATTGTTTTAGTTGTCCGATGAGTGCTAATTTGTAGATGTTCTTGTTTGCTTTGTAAACTATCATAGAAGCCATATATTTGTTGAAGTACATATATTCAGGAAATAAATACTACCTCTCGTCATATTTACATGACGTTTATGGCATCAGAATATACTTGATAATAGTACAACTAAGTTGTCCTAAATGTCAAGTATACTTGACTGGAGGGAGTAACACTTTCTGGGATACTAGAAATGGTCTGTACTCTGTAGGCTCTTTATCAAAGCAAAAAGTAAATTTGTCTCTAGATATCCGATTACTTGGTCTCAGTATCTATCTTTTATGTTTTATAGAAAACATCTGCCATTTACTTACTGTTTGGATCTTACACAAGGACGGCCTTGTTCTTCTCATTCAGAATGCTATCAGCCTATGTATTAGATGAAAGTAAACATTTATCATTGTAAGATTACTTTCAGAATTGTCACCCTACTGTTATTTTTGAAAAAAAAATCCTTTTGTTCTTGACTCCTGTTTAATTTGTCCAAAATGTTCATATGTTTTGATGGCATAAGTATATTGTTAGTTTGTTACTTCATGCTTTCAAGAGAGCTCAGGCTCATAAGGTCTATACCAGGTTTTTGTTTATCTTGTATCTTCCAAATGCTATGCATAATATGCAATTTCCTGAGAGTATTTCATCCAATGTTTCATCTATCAATGATGCGCTTTACTGTGGCTCACCTCTACAAACCACTCTTATGCAGTTGGACTCTGAAAATTCATATACTGCTCTTGTTTATGGGACATCTGCGCTTGTTACGATCTGGATTTCATCAATTGTTGTTTCTGCACTTGATTCAGTCCCTTTGGTATGCAACTCTGATTCTCTCTCTCACTCACTCACTCACTCACTCACTCATCACAATTTCATTTGTTTGAAATTGTATGATAAGATGTAAAACAGATCAGTGCTTTATTTTTGAAATTAGGAAGTCAAAAGAAAAAATAGTTTCTGAAGGCAATACAGTTGCTGGCTGTACCAAATTTTGCCACCTGTTGGTTATTTCGGTAGTGCCAGTTCTCTCACACTTACTTTCTATGACTGGAGCAGCTCGCAGTTACATGCTTGCCTTTGGCAATTTTAGGACTTTTCTCGAACAAGCTATAGAAGCATTGCATAATCTTTGTTAGTATTATATATGGAAGTACTATGTCACAACTCATAACGATGTGATTATCGCTGTCATGAGCAGGTTCCCCAGGTGATGGAAGTTGTCGGCCTTGGATTCACAGTTTGGTTCACCTCGCGATATTTGATTTTTAAGGTGATTAGTTTTATATCTGTTCTGAACACTCTCCCCTATTAAATGGACTTCTACTCATATTTGTACTACTTTTTTGTGCAGGAAAATCGGGATGAATTGATCACCAGAATTGGCTCCATCAAGAAGCAGATACTTGGATCTCGTGGTGACTGAGTAGTTCTCCTACACGGTTAGTGATGAATCTCGAAAGGTGCTTCGAATGTTTAATGGGTACCCATGTTGTGTTCTTGAAAAAGTTGTTATGAACATTTAATATGTTATCTTAGTGCTTTAGTGCTGGTTCTGAATAATTAGTTATCACCTCTTCTTTGCTCCCGTTGAAATTAATAGTAGGGGCTGCGAAGTCATGCTTTCTTGCATACAATCTTTGAATGTCATGGGTCATGCTGTCTTGTTAGGGGGCTGCTATCCTTCTAAGTCATACACAATTCATGACCATACGGCTGGGCCAGGTGGCTGCCGTCCCTGTCAAATGGTTCCAAGAAGAGTTGCTGAACATCAACATAGCCGTGCTTAGGTTCCTCTGGCCGTATCTGGTTGGTTTGCCGTTTAGATTGGGAGGCCAACTTTGTGTTGAGAATATTCTATTCGCCCTTCATGGCTTCACAAAGCAGGAAAAAAAATTGGGAATATACTTTTTCTTTTTAATAATTTGCGCATATATACCTGTATGGAAAGAATTACCACAAATATACCTCCATCATATAACGGAGACGCGAGAGCGCAACATAATCGCAGTGTGGACATGCAGAATCGGTGGCCGGGCCAGTCGCGCAGGACGGGCGAGCGGCACCGCTTCGGTCCCACGAGCGGAAGTGCGCCACCGCTTCGCTCTAGCGTCTTGGGAGAGCGGCCGCGTGGTGGCGAGCGCGATCGCGCCGCACCGATACGGTCCCGCAGCATTGAAGGGCGGCAGCGATGCAGTCCTGCGTCCCCGTTGCGAGACATCGAGGCGGTTCCACTGCTCTGCGCTCCTACATGCCCGTTGTGCAGTATCGCCCTCTCCCCGCATGCATGTCGTGCGGTAGCGTTTGAAACTCGCAATACCGTGGCATGCGACCGATTTGATCCAAATAGTCCACGCTGAAACTTTGTCGCACACAACAATGTCATGGTCACGCATAACAGAGAAAATAGTAATTTCTCTCGTCCGTCTTAGCTTTATTCACATGCTGTAGCAATTATTTTGTCGCACACAACAATGTCGCCGTCACGTATGTCCATAGAAAAGAGTAGTTTCTCTCGCCTTGTCTTAGCATTATGCACATGCTGTAGCAGTGAAGTAGCGTCAAAAGTTTGTTGTCCTATACTGTTGAAAGTTTGGATAGCCTACTCACGGACTGTTTATAAAAGGAACCTTACGAAGGGAAAGAAGACAGACTTCAGTAGAGTGGATCACTCTTACTCTTGAGTTTATTGTTGGTGTACTCATGGTGTAAACTTCAATAGGTTAGAAAGTTTCATGAATTCACAGGCTCTATCTTGTGGTATGAACTGAGTACACGGTGATTATGGTGAGTATTGGGGTCTTACCATAAGTCAAGGTCGTGAATTCATGAAACTTTCAAACCCACTGAAGTAATGTATAAAGGTTGTGGAAAACTTTGTTATCGTGCTGCAGGTAAATATTTATAAGTGTCCATTTAGATGTAGAAAAGACAGTTTAATATTTAAAAGTTTTTTATTTTAAATGTATCACACACGTTAGATAGTTTAACACACAGATTTGTTTGAAGTAAGCCATACATCAGACATAAGAAATATATAATCATGGTACTGATCATTCTCCTCATCGAAATTCCTTGATGTGCTAGTGTTCTTTACCTTGCATTTCTTCTAGCCCCTGCTGGAGGTCTGCGTCCTGACAACAATAATCTTTCAGTTGAACGTTGATCGTGGACAGACCTGTGTGTCTCTCCAACGCCGCTGAAGTCAATGTGCCCGTAGTCTTGTGTCGGCTGAGTTATTTGAAGTGGTTCATCATTCTGCGACGGTACTATCTCCTGATATGCTATTGACGACCCCCCCACCGTAGCTACATAGGTCACCATAGGACTGTGTGCTGCCCGCATATGCTGCCATTTGATCGGTGATGTACTTTCTTAGCTACATCATCAATTAATAAAAGCCCTAGTGCTACCGATTTTCTCCTTTTTTTCGAATTTTTTTTGGCTCATCGGGTTGGCTACCACGTTGTCTCTTTCTGGGGCAGGGCTCCTCGATTGGGTGAGGGGAACCGGCACGCACAGTACCTGCTATTCCCAGGCGCACTTATGCTCTCTAGTGTCCCGGTAGCCTCTGGCGTGTCTTGGTGGAGTCTGGCAAGGCGTGCATGCATGCCATGCTCATGTAATTTTGTAAAAATGGATTCTAAAATTGTAGCCTTCTAGCACACTGGACTATAGTACTTTCTTACTAAATAAGCATATCAGGAGATATTACCGTCGCAGAATGATGAACCACCTCCAATAACTCAGCTGACCCAAGACTACGGGTACATTGACTTCAGCGGTGTTGGAGAGACACAGGTCTGTCCGCGATCGACGTTCACCTGAAAGATTATCGTTGTCAGGACGTAGACCTCCAGCAGTGGCTAGAAGAAAAGCAAGGAAAAAAGACACTTGCACATCAAGCAACTTCGGTGAGGAGAATGATCAGTAGCATGATTGTATCTTTCTTATGTCTGATGTATTGCTTAATTCGATCAAATCTGTAATATCTTGTGTGGAACTAGCTAATGTGTGTGCTACATTTTAAAACAAATAACTTAAGAAATAATATTTACATATGAAAGTGTATCTAGGCCCTAATTGTTTTGGTGGTTAATGACGATCTGATTAGCAAGGACTAATGCTTACTATTGAGAATGTGTGAAGGAACATTAGTCCGTCATGAGATGATGTTCGATGCGACATCATTTTGTATGGACTTTTGATGGAAAGTAATAATGAAACTATTGGTAAATTGTAAATCTTCATTTACTCGGTCAATAGGAAAGCCGTACTATAAAGGGGATGTTGTATTGATATCTAGGAATGAGAAAAGTGCTAAAGTAATATTTGCTGAAGTTGGCTTCTTCCTTAGATTTGTGTACCGGTGTTTTTTGGAGTTTTCCAAAGTGTATTTGCTTTTGAAAAATGGTATTGTTGTTTTTTGGATTTTTTCGAAAGCTGTTTCGGAAATTTCCGAAGTGCTGTGAACTTGCAAAAATCTATACTGGTCTTTTTCGGAGAGTTTCGGAAAATTTCGAACTGTGTTGAACCTGTTGATTTCGGTACTGGTGTTTTTCGGAAATTTCCGAAGCTATGAGTTGAAGCACATATCAGTACTAGTGATTTCGGATTTTTCCGAAGGTGCTTCGGAAATATCCAGAATGTTCTTTTCACGTTGGATTTCGGTAGTGGTGATTTTCAGAAGTTTCTGAACTTGGTTTGGAAATTTCCGAAAAAGGGTATCTTTACCCACCAATGGCATTTCTGAGGGTGTTGCTATAAATACGCTCCTCATTCCACAAGGCAAGGTTGCTGGTGCTATTGAATACTTTGCCCTTAGCTTGCTTTGTATTTAAGATCCACTTTGAGCCTTGCTCCCTCATTTCTCCTCTCCACCGAGCTCGGACTTTGTGTGTCAGAGAGTTGTGGATTTGAGTTCGTGTGAGTGCTTGTGGTCGACTTTGTGAAGATTTGTTGAGCACTTGTTTCATCCCTAAGACATTCTTGCTTAATCTTTTACTCTTGGAGATTGAGGACTCCTAGACTACTAGGTCTTGAGCCACCGATATAAGTGTGGTTGGTCGGAAGAAGTTTGTGAAGGTTGGGTCTCACCTCCGAAAGGGAAGAGATTCCAATAGTGAAAGGATGAATGCTTTGTGCAACCTCTTGAGGAAAGAGTAATCAAAGTCCAGGCTCTTTGTGAGCTCCTCAACGGAGACTAGAATCCCCTCAAGAATTTGAACTTCGGGGAATAACTCATCTTGCAAGAAATTTGGTGACATCCTTTTTCGCTTTCCCTTCTACTATCTTCACTTGCTTGTGCCGCTATAGCTTTAGCTTCTCTTTGAGCTTTAGATTATTTGTTGTGCCTTGCTAGATTCATTTTTCTAGTGTGATTGTCGTTTGGCATATATCCGAAAATCCTAGCTTATGCATTTTATTAAGTTTTAACTTAGCCTATTCACCCCCTTCTAGGCCTAAGTGACCCTTTCAACATGCCTTTCCTGCGTCTAAATGGACACTTATAAATATTTTCATGCAGCATGATAATGAATTTTTCCACAATCTTTACACAACATTTAAGTTGGTTTGAAAGTTTCGCAAATTCACAGCCTTATCTTATGGTAAGCCCCCAATACACACCATAAATCATCACGTACTTAGTTCATACCACAAGATATGTCCTGTGAATTCGCGAGACCTTCTAATCAGTGAAGTTTATACACCATAAGTACAATAACAATGAACTTTAAAGAGTGATACAATCTACTGAAGTATGTCTTATTTCCCTTCGTAAGATTCCTTTATAGGCAGTTCGTGAGTAGACTATCCAAACTTTTTGATGGTACAGTATAACAAACTTTCGGTGCTACTTCACTACTACAGCGTGTGCATAAAGCTGAGTCTTAACGAGATAAATTACTCTTTTCTATAGGCGTGCGTGACTACGACATTGTTGCGTGCGATAAAATAACTGCTACGCCGTGTGAATAAAGCTGAGACGGACGAGAGAAATTACTCTTTTCTCTGGTAGTGCGTGATTGCGACATTGTTGCCGCGTGAAAATAACTTTCGGCGTGGACTATTTGGATCAAATTAGTTGCGCGCCACGGGATTGCGGGTTCCAAAACACTACCGCGTGACGGGGAGAGGGCGGTGCTGCACAACGGGCATGTGGTAGCAGGACCGCCTCGGTTTTGTGCAATGGGGACACGGGACTGTATCAGTGCTGCTCTTCTGAGCCGTGGGACTTGGCGCTGCTCGGGTGTCATTCTTAACCGGCCCGCCCGCCTGTCCCGCACGTCCACGCCGTAATTATGTTGCTCTCCCGCGTCTCCATTATGTGTTAGAGGTATATTTGTGCTAAATCTTTCCATTAAGGTATATAAACTCAAATTATTAAAAAAAAGGGGGTATATTCCCAAAAAATAAATTCCACAAAGCAACTCAACCCAATTGATAGTTCTCCCCCTCTTTCATCTAAACTTGTAATATTCTGTGAAATCTATACTCCGTCCCAGTATAGCGGTCGTTTTACCCCGTAGCAGATGTCCCAGAAAGCTTGACGCATCCAAGTTCCAGCAGCGATAAGTACTTGAAAAAAAGAAGTCCCAGCAGCGAGAAGTACTCTAGAAAAAAGAAGTGGGCCCATCTAGTACCGTGGGTGGCGTGGGATTTTTCTCCTCCACATGAGATTTTTCTGATTGTGTGTCAATTCTCTGCATGTTGAAATGACTACATGCAGCTGCCAGCTAATGATTTGGGGGTGTTTTGGTCATTTTCTCCTAAAGCAAATTTGTGTCAGTGATTCTCGGACGACCACTATACTGGGACTGAGGGAGTACTAGCTAATGTCATGTCGGATATTGCCTGTCCGCATGCTTGACTCCTGAGAATGTAGGAAGACAAGGTCAACATAG